GAGAGAGAGAGAGAGAGAGAGAGAGAGAGAGAGAGAGAGAGAGAGAGAGAGAGAGAGAGAGAGAGAGAGAACAGGAGGGTCACCACATCCAGAAACAGAAATTGAATGACCTCTACTGTTAAACCACATGCGAGGAGTGAAGAATTTTTCCCAGCGTGTTTCACTCGCAACTGTACAACAGAATGTACATACAGATTGCCAAGCAGAATAGAAGATCGATCACACAGAAGGGCAGAGTTCCAGAAGTAGAAGCACACCTTTGTTGCCACCTTACTTGCTTTGGAGCCCTTCACATCCTGAAGTTGCCATGATACAATAAATACCATCCGCTGTCTTTCCATCAATTTTCCCTGTCTAAAGATCGAAGAATACGTTTGATGTCTCATTCATTGCCTAACGACAGACTTGCAACTTCCTTACAGCCTCGGCGTCTCATTCATTCCCACATGTCACCATCAAGACAACTGAGACATCAGGTCCCGCAAGCATAGCAGAAGATCACAGTCACTGGGAATAAGAGAAGAAATGCCCAGATCCAACAAATGAGCAGAATTTAAGAATTGCAAAAATAACATCAGAGCACATTTTTATTCGACCTTGCCTTTACAGAGCTGTACATATTCCAAATTATCAATGTCAGCTTGGCATTCATTTTCACTACCCTTAACGACCAGTACTTCCAAAAGTAGAGGCCGCATCCGCGCTGTGACGTGCTGGGATAAACGGGCCTGGGGCAATGGCACGAATTCATTCGGGTGGACATGTCACAACACTGTAGCAATGGCTGGCTGCATGCACGCCGCGACCTCCTGGAAGTACTGGTGGTTTAATAAGCTCCAGAGCAGGCTACATTTCCTCCGAGAAGTGGAGAAAGTGATGGCCTGTCAAGATGGATCAAAATCTCTAAAATCTTCCTCCTATTCAGCGTGCACTGTATGATCCAAGGACCGCACCTGTCCCTGCCAGTTCCAAGTCCCATTCAGGGGGTCCTACTGAGGCAAGCATAGGGTCCGGCAAGTGCCATCAAAAGTACAGACGGGTCAGCAGAGGGTAGGCTAAGTTGCCTCCAGTCCAGTCCCACAAATTGTCAGTGGCCCACGGGCCCCAGGTAGGCCAGCAAACATCCCAAAAAAGGTCGAGAGCCCAATGCGAGCAGAGTACCTGCTGAAAAGGGTCTGCAAGTCCAAGGGCTGAATCATCACATACAAAAGCACAGCAGCCGTGGCAGCCATCATTCATTCCACTCATGCTTCCTGTCGAACCACTGCTATGAAGGGTTGCATACCTGCCAACCGCCGACCCCAACAGCCGACCGTTTTGCAGCCAACCAGCAGGGCCGACCTGTCGTCGGTCTGCCGACCACTCAGAAAACAGTCATCCACATTTTCTTTCGGTTGTACTGCACCTGTCTCTTATACACATCTAGATGTGTATAAGAGACAGGTCTTGTTCTTCGCCCGACAGCTCCTCATCTC